TGGTGTTTGTGTATGTGTGAAAAAATATAAATATATATATTCCCATATACGTGTGTGTGTGTGTGTTTGTGTGTGTATATATATATATATATATATATATATATATATATATATATATATAATTTATAATATATATATATATAATATATATATATATATAATATATATATATATATATATATATATATATATATTATAATATATTATGTATGTTGTGTGTGTGTGTGTGTGTGTGTGTTGTGTGTGTGTGTGTGTGTGTGGTGTGTGTGTGTGTGTGTGTGTGTGTGTGTGTGTGTGTGTGTGTGTGTGTGTGTGTGTGTGTGTGTGTGTGTGTGTGTGTGTGTGTGTGTGTGTGTGTGTCTATGATATTCTATCTACATATGTATACATAGATACACATATATATACATATACACAGAGGGAGATTGATAGCTTGATAGATCGGTAGATACATAGATAGATAGAAATGTGATAACCATGTGCATGCATGCTTTGGTATTCATTATTTATCCTGCATTCTCTAGTAATTTCCGTCACGGAGCTAAAACAGCGACATTTATCCATTCCTTTTGTTACGATTTCTGATATCAAAATTGCTCCTCATTTTCAATTGCAAGCTTTATTAATTTCGCGGTCGGTGGCCTATGTTATCCAACAGTATCCTAAATACTCTTATCACCTTATCTTGCGCATATGAAGAAACGACGTTCCTTATCTAGAGTTCACACATCTTGATAAGCTATCACCGTTATCGTGACCGAAGAATATTCTTCAAATCTTTTTTTCTTCTAAATTCTGTTTCTCTCTGCTTATCTCTTCTTACCCCTAATTCTCTATAAGCGAATATTCAATTTCTATTTCCCTCAGTCTGAATTTTATGTCCACGATTCGTCTCTTGCGAAATCTAGATTTTGCTCAAATCGAGCTCATTCATGACACCGCACGTTGAGGACTGCCTGGCTCGCGACCCAAGACCTGGCGCAAAGTTCATGCAGCGGAATCAGTGCCAGGGTTATTCCAGGCAGGGAGAGTAAGACTTTCTTATTTCTGTGATGTCTATTTCTATTAGTACCTGTCTATCTGTGTCTGTCTGATTATCTATCTAACCATCTATTCATCTATCTATACGTCTGTCAATCTATATCTCTGTAATTTATGACTTTCTTATTTCTGTTATGTCTTTCTCTATAAGTACCTGTCTGGCTGTCTATTTGTCTGTCTAATTATCTAACCATCTATCCATCTATCTATGCGTCTGCTAGTCTATATCTCTCTACCTTACTCCATCTATCTATCTATCTCGCCATTTATTTACAGGAAAAAAAATTTGAACTCTGAAACACCAAAGAGCATTTTTTTACCAAAGACACGCATCTCACGGGATACCACTGGCCCGTTTTCCCTTGATAATTTGAGTTTCTCTCCTTGCTTCCTTCTTTGTTTGTTCTTGTGTGTGTGTTTCTGTTTATGAGGTTCTTTAACTGTTCACATATTAACCTTCTTTGGCGCTGTTCATTAAGATTGTATTTGTCTGAACTATCCATTATTTTCCTACTTTCCCTTCTCATGCTTCTCCTCCTTCTCCTTCTTCTTCTTCTTCTTCATCAACTTCTTTTCTATTACTTGTATAATTCTACTGTTCCCCTTCTTCTTCTTCTTCTTCTTCATCTCTTTCCTTTCTTTACTTATCTTCTTCTGCTTCCACATCTATTTCTTCTTTTCTTTTCCTTCTTCTTCCTCCCCGCCTTCTTCTTTTTCTCCTACTTCCACGTACTTGATAATACGTTGATATCAAAGAACTTCTTTCTTCGTTCTTTTCTTTCCTTCTCTGTCCCATTGTCTTAAAAGTGACATTTGCACAGTTCCTCAGTCAGTTCGTAATGTAATTGTCCCATGCCCTTGATATTAACAAATAATATCCTGTTAATTGGTTCAGTAATCATCACGATATGGCAGTTGAAGGATATTTGAAACGTTAAAGTCCTTTCAGAAATAAAGTACACGAACATAGAGCTCGAATTATCTCCTTGAAATATATATTTCATGATCACTTTCGTCATCATTATCATTATTATTAATAACAGTCATTATTCTTATTCTCATTATTACCAACATTATTTATGTTGTTATCATTATTATGATCACTCTCATTATTATTATTGCCATTAATGTTTTCATTATCATTGCTATTATCATTATTACTACTATCATTACCATCATCATCATTGTTATCATCATTTTTACAGTCATTATTTTTATCATTATTTTACCATGCTGGCCATTTCATATAGCAAAATTTACTTTAAAACTTTTCCTTAAACATGCATCACTGCATAAAACAACATTAAACCTCACATTAAAAATACGGACAAAACATAACAAACAAAAACAACAAAACAAGATACATCACAACCAATCAATCAAGATATATACAAACCACACTGCACCGCATTTAAAAGCCACACTGTACGTACTCACCATACATAATAGGAGACTACCT